AGTATATATTCATAATCTTCTTATATTTATTTACATGTCCCATCAGTAAAAACATTATTTTATGCTTTACACTGAGTTTCTGAATCTAATATCTTAATGTGGTATGGTATCCACGTGAATAATGATTCTTTATTAAATAAACATAAAAATTGATCAATATTAAATCATAATACTCTAAACAGCAGCCCCTGGCTTACATTGTTCACGTTAGCGAGTGTCTAAACGACCGATTAAAAATAAAAAAAAGTTTTAAGTAAACATGCAAAAATAAAACAATAAACCTTTACTTGGCTAGTTAACTGAAATAAAACGATCAACTGCACAAACCTCTGCTGAATCGTAACTTGAACAGTGACTAAAATTGCAATCGACTGGCCGCTAGAGACTGGCTCCAAAAGGGAGTCAGTCCCATAGACTCCCCATGTTAAAATGTCCAACTTTACAGCTGAAAAAAATGTTTACAGCCTTGTACAAAAAGTGGTTTTGGTCTATATAGCTAATTTTGCCCTTCATGACAACTGTGAAGGGGGTGAATTTTTTTTTATAACTCATCTGTTTAAATTATATTAAGCCTTAAAGTTCTGCATAATTAAGGGCGTGGCCACTTGAGTGACAGGTGAATTGCCGCTGCTGTCACCACCGTCGAGCTAGGTGGGCGTGGTTTCAGCAACCAACTCCACCAACGTTTTAAATAATATACTGTAAATATAATGTACTTGTTATTTTGTGGTTTAAAAAGTGCGTTAATGTTTATATTGTAGTGCATTTGTTCATTGTTAATATATATTTATATGAAAGTATTTGGTAAATTAAAGCCTTTCATATTTTTAAATGGTTGCATTTGTGTTTAATTCAGCAGTTTCTGGGCCACATTTGGCCTGGGGACCAAGCCGAGTCTCAGCCAGATCTGGCTGAGTGTCTGGGCCAGACCTGGGCCACATAAAATAATATAAGTCACTCTGCAGTATGCGGGCCAGATCTGGGCCATGTCAATAAATAAGAGTCATTTTACAAGGCGTGGGCCGCATCTGGGCCAGAGGAAATTGTTTGTGTCTGTTTTCAGTGTGTGAGCCAGTTTTGGGCCAGGGACTCAGCCAGTACTGGGCCAGAAGTTAAGCAAGGTTGTGGCCCAGAGGTGGGCCAGATACATTTTGCTATCTGGGGAACGAATGACTCGAAAAACCCAAAAACTCGAGAGATGAACTAATCAATTCTCTTTCCAGCTCAGACTGCACAGGTTAAGCTTATGGGTCTGTCACGTGATGAACGAACGACTCGAAAAACCAGAAGACTCGAGAGATGAACTAATCAATTATCTTTCCGGCTCAGACTGCATTGGTTAAGCTTATGGGGCTGTCACGTGATGAACGAATGACTCGAAAAACCCGAAGCACAACGAAACACACAGCGGGCTAGAGTGAGCGGAGGCCGGCGGGCTAGAGTAAGGAACGGCAGGCGGGCTTGAGAATGGCATGGCCAGCGGATTTAACGAAGGAGCGGCCGGCAGGCTTGCTGCAACCACATGTGACGACCCTGGGCTGAACTCCGCTTCGTCCACGGTGAAAGCCCAAAAATGTTGTACACAATCTGTGAATTGTGTTTTGCATTTGTGAAATGCATTTTATGAATATATATTCTTATTTTGTACACGTGAATTGGTTTTTGTGAATATATTTTTTTTTTTCGTACACATGAATTATTTCTCATGCATGTGAATTGGGTTGCGCATGTGTGCATCGCGTCTTTTGCATGTATTATTATTGAGATAATTCTGGCTCCATATCTACGAGCCAATATCAGAAATGAGAATTTGTTCTTTCCGGGTAAATTATGTGATCCCGCTGCAAGCACGAGGACCAATATTTCGACCGAAATATCACGCCAAACAATTTTGGGTGCAATGCGCAGTTTATCCTGTGGGTGGCAGTAATGGGGAAAAAGTAAAACATCACCAGCTGCAAAATTCAAATCTTGGTTCGCTGACTGGCGCAGAGCCAGAGACAGAGGCGTTTTTACAGCGCTGCATATTAAAAACAACCACACACGATTGTGTTGAGCTTATGAATGCAATGACCAATCAGAGGCGTTCAGATGAGTCATCGCCGAAACACTGTGTTTTGTTCATTGCGCACGCTCGCTGACTGATTTCTGCTCTCTGGCGAATTTTCTCATCTGAAACTACGAAGTTCAGATGTGCGTACTAATGTAAGTAAGATATTAATTTCACAATGTAAACAGCTTCAGTGATTTTAATGGGAGTTTTTGAGAGTGCTTGAACTCTGGCTAGATTGAATCATTGATAATGTTTTTTGATAATGTAAATGTTACTTTCTCTCTTTCTGTCCTATGAAATTGTTATAATTAGTAACTTACAATGTTTTTATTAAATTCACATTAAATAGAAATTAATTCCTATTAAACATATTTTATGGCATGACACCCTGGTACTTAAGTAAAAAGACGGGTTTTTATGCATAGTTAATAGATTACAGTATTATGCTACTTTGCCCATCGCCCATAGCTCGAATAACATAATCTATAAAGGTGCAAAATGCATTTACTTACACATATTTGAGAATCGAGATATTTCATGATATAGTTAACACGTTTGGGAATATTTAAAATAAAAAGGAAAAAAAAAACAAGCCTATATCAGTTATACAGTGCTATTGTGACTGCTGTGTGTCACATGATGAGCATGACGAGCATAAAAAGCATTCACGTCTTTGTAGAGCTAGTAATTACAGTTTTCTGAAAGCTCCCACGTCTACCACATGGTCGCTATACCACCTGACTGCTGTAGATTCATTTAGCCGTAGATAGTAGTGCCATAGAAACACATAATTCTCAGTCCGAGGATGTGAACAGCTCCGAATATGATGTCACATTCTGTCATCTCAAGATTACGGTAATTACACGGTGTCAGCATAATTTATTTGAAACAATAACAACAACACCCCCAGTAGGTGCCCACCCAAATGCAAAAATGAAACTCCGCCTATAGCTAAACCCTCTAAAATCTAATCTAAAGTGAAGTATTCAGTGCCCTCAAAACCACAGGGTGTGCACATGAATCCAGGGACTCATTTAAGCAGCACTGCGAACTGCGTTAGGGTTAGGGTTAGGTTTAGGATCATGATGCTCTGTATATATCGGCTCCGGGACGTCACACTGACAAGCATCTTATCGGAGTATTCTAAATATTTGTGACACCATCTGATAAATTTTGATTTTTTTTCTCAAACTTTGAGTACAGGTGCAGGTATGTGACTTTTGTGTGTTAATCACTGTTAGCACCTGCTACAAATCTTAATATACTCATATGAGTAGATCTATGTTATAAAAAACAAACACGCACACAAAATGATATACTGCTATAAATTCCCTCTACATTATGCCACAAACAGTTGCAATATAGGTAAAATGCAAAGTATTATGTATCTTTTCAAACATAATGTGTTTTAAGTGCATCTTTAAAGGTGCAGTGTGTAGATTTTAGCAGCATCTAGCGATGATGTTGCGAATTGCAATAAACTGATTAGCCCCTCCCCCCACCCCTCCCCTTGAGAAGCTACGGTTGCCGACACACGACACAGGACAAAGATGTCATCATTTGAGACAGCAGAGAGTAGTCAGTCAAGCGTTTCTTACTCTTCTTACTTCTATGAAAGACCTCTGCTTCTAATAAACCACACAACGACTACTACTACTTCTTCTTGCGTATTCAACGTAGTGACGATGCAAGCTGCCTCTAAAAACACGAGGAACACGAGTAAGAAATGAAGAAGAACAACAGTGATGAAATGCGCTCTGTAGAGTAGTTTGTCCGTTAAGAGCTACTGTAGAAACATGGCAGTGCAAAATGGCGACTTAACCATGGAGGGGGACCCGCGGTGTATGTAGATAGAAATGGCTTATTCTAAGGTAATTAAAACATAACGGTAAATTTTGTAAGACATTTATACACCACTGAAAACATAGTTTTGTATGTTACATTGCATTTCTATAAACAGATTCTCAAAAATGTCACACATTGCACCTTTAAAGAAATGTCATGCTATATTTTATAATAATTAAGAGGGGAAAAAAAATCCAATTTTAATTGTCTTCTCATTTTAACAACAATACATTGAGTCATGTCTGGCAACTGATAAATATGTAGGCCTATTCTGTATTAGGATACATATAAAATTAAGGTAGGCTACTATTTAATGATCAATAAGCATCATTAAAATCTCATTATGAGGTGTGAGAGCGCCATGGCTGGTACCGAAAACTTGACAGATGCAGCAACATTAGCTGAAGGTGACGGGTCTCGATTCCAGCGCTAGTCCTCATTCTTTGAAAGTGCATGCCAAAGTGAATTCGCAGTGCAGAAAACAGCATCTTCTTGACATGTCGACAACACGAACCAACTCTACCAGTCTGAACTACAACTACAGTGTTTGAGGGCGGGGCAAAAGTAGATGCTGTTCAAGGGCAACCAATGAAGTTGTTATGTGGGCATTAGGCAAATTTGTTCCAAACCTAGGTTCCTGCAAAAAGTGAGAGTGGAATTTCTGATGACTCATTTCAGGCAGTTCAGTATCGGTTCTTTCTTTTGGGAGATAATAATTCCATTTATTGTGAAATTTTTGATCTTTGAATCTTTGCAACCTTTTACATTCACCAAAAGCATGAACACGGCATGAATTGTAATATCTAAAAATAGCATAATATGGGGACTTTAGGTACTTTTGAAATAATTACTGGAGGGTCAATGTTTTTACCAAGTTTCCCTGATTTCTCTAAGACTCATGTATGCTTAATGACTTTCTTACCGTTTACCTCTCATAGAAGCAGTAACAACAGCACCAGGGTTCAGAAGACAAAGTACAGTTAATGTCACTGACAGTAATGTCAAAAAATTCCAGCATGAAGAACAGCGATGGGAAGGTCTATTAAAAATGATCATAAATAAATGACTGAATTAATAAAACAGACAAAGGAAAAAACTGGTAGCCAGTTTAAAGACAATTTAATGGTGTTACTTGTGGAGCATGCCATGACATTCTGTTGAACATATACTTGTCAACACATCATTCATTTTCTATTACAGAAACTGACTAACATCTCTTTTTATCTACAAGTGGAGTACAGGGATTCACAAGCGCTTGTATTTCTGCCACTTCCTGATGACTGTAGATGCCATCAGTCAAGGTTCTGCGTGCTTCACCGTTGTTGTATACTCTAGTGAGCTGGCCAGTGAACGGGACATCAGCTGTAAAGGTATTGCTATTAATAACAATGCTGCAAGCGTGGTTGGCGGGAACCTGCACCTCCATACTCACTGAGTGCAAGCTTTTCTCAACTGTGGATGTCGTCTTAGAATTGAGGCGGCTATAGTCGTATTTCAAGCCAAGCTTTCCTCCTATACTTGTTATAAATGGAACCTTACCGCTGACGGATGTCTCTCCTGTCCCTCCAAACGTATGCGTACGGGTCTTTAGGAATGAAACTGTTTTATCGATGCCTTGGTCCAACTTCACCTGTTGTTTGGCTGGGTCACAGTTCTTGTTGGAGGCCGTGAAATGTTTCAGTACTGCTATGTTTTCTGATGCCTTGGCATTTCCAATTTGATACTCAGTAATGGTTAAATGCTGCCCTTTAATGTCATGGTTTAGGGTGAGAACCTCATTTTCGGTGGTGTCTTGTTTTTTAGCACCAATCGTTATTAAACTGTTATCGATCATATAGCCTAACCCAAAGTCATTTCTAGCAATAAAGTAACCATTACAAGTCTCCACTGGTAAAGGTGGAACCTCTCCAAATGAAGATTTCTTCCACTCAAATATTTCGAAGTTATCCTTATTCAATAAAAATGACATTTTTCTATTCTGGACAGTGTGTCCTAAATTGAATTCTCCATGAAATGTTGAAACCGAACACGATTTTTTAGCGCTGTCATAGAAGCAAGGTGTACAGTCTTCCAATCTAGCCACATAAAAAGTTTGCTTTGATTTCTTGTCAAAGACAGGAACAGCGTCCTTAGGCAGTTGTGGTGGATGCACTTCTTTCCATTCCAAGTAGGTCTGGGTCTGGACCTCAGCTATCTGCAGCAGAGCAAAGATGATCACCATGCTGAAATCCATCATCGTCTGCTGCCACGGCATCTACAGGTATGAAATATCACATACTTCAGTAACACCTTACAATTTCTTTTTTTATTCGTTACCCTTAATTAATTACATTAGTTAACATGAATTATCAGTGATCAAAGACTAATAAATACTGTAACAAATGTAACAAATATTGTTTGTGGTAAAAAAGTTATTATATATAGAGTTAAACATAAACATATAAAGTATAAAGTTATTAGCTATTATTGAAGAGGCTTTATGTAAAATTCAGTAAAATTCCTTGCTCTTGGCGACACCGGTGGCCGTTAAGTGAACTGCAGCCTGTAACTTCTCACCTGCACACATAATGTACAAGAGACTGAACATGAATAAGTGGGGGTTATGCGCAACTTAAAGGGTTAGTTTACCCAAAAATGAAAATTCTGTCATTAATTACTCACCCTCATGTCATTCCAAACCCGTAAGACCCGTAAGTTCATTATCGGAACACAAATTAAGATATTTTTTATGCATTCTGACAGCTCTCTGACCCTCTCATAGACAGCAAGGGTCCTTACATGATCAACGTCCAGAAACGTAGCAAGGAGATCTGTAAAATAATCCATGTGACATCAGGGGTTCAACCGTAATTTTACGAAGCTACGAGAATACTTTTTGTGCGCAAAAGAAATAAAAATAACGATTTTATTCAAGAATTCGTCTCCTCCGTCACCCTAGCGCCATTTTGGAGAGTATCCACTTAAACCAAACAGCGTATGCTGTTCTGTGTCAGCTGCGCCACGCTTTTACATTTTCTACGTTGTTTGTGCTTTGATTTGAACGAAAAACAACATATCCGTGTGGTGCGGCAAACACAGAACAACATACGCTGTATGCGTTCAGTGGATACTCTCCAAAATGGTGCTACGGTGACGCGGAGGAGATGAATTGTTGAATACAGTCGTTTTTTTTTTTTCTTTTGCGCACAAAGTATTCTCGTAGCTTCGTAAAATTATGGTTGAACCCCTGATAATCACATGGATTATTTTACTGATCTCTTTGCTACGTTTCTGGATGTTGATCGTGTAAGGACCCTTGCTGTCTCTGGGAGGGTCAGACAGCTCTCAGATTCCATCAAAAATATCTTTGATGGAAGACGAAAGGAGGTCTTACGGGTTTGGGTGAACTATCCCTTTAACTTGCATATTATGTAAAACAGCTTCCAGTTCAGGTCTTTTGTATGTGTTTTGTTAAATATAGAGCCATTTTACTCAAGATACCTTCAAAGGAGCTACCAAAGATGAGTGTGGAAAAGGATCAATTAGAACTATACTATACTACTAGTCCAGGTGGGGGTGTTCGCAGTGGTGTTTCGGGACTCCTGAAGAAGGATTCAGTTTCCAGATTTGAATGAACTGATTAAGAACTGACAGCACAGTCAGACCACAGGGTGTTTCTTGTTCAGGCTCCTAGAGCTGCATGATTCATCTCGATTCAAACACCCACACGATCTCATTTCTAAATGACAACGATTCACCTGTGTCTATTAAACCTTTGACAAAATCACACCAGAACATTTAAATCTGTGTTGCATTGCCACGCTATTTCTGTGCTACAAATATTCATATTATCACAGAAGTACTGAGATAAAAGTCTATAGTTCAGATAAAAACAGTGTTTATAGGAGCGATCAATATATAGCAAATCAACTTTTGAAAGTAACTTGGCGCTTTAAATAACGCTTTTATTGATTGCCCAGAGAGGGAGGGCGGGGCCCGGGGCCCGGGGCCCATTCAAAAACTGCATGTGTGTATACATAATATCAAGAGACGGAGAAAGGTGTATCCCCACAGCATCAGCGATGAGCTGTACGCAACATGAATTCAAATTAAAGAAGCATTTTTAATTAATTATAATTTTGTCAGTACCTCTTGTAAATTACATACTGTTTTTTATAGATACAGTGGGTACGGAAAGTATTCAGACCCCCTTAAATTTTTCACTCTTTGTTATATTGCAGCCATTTGCTACATACATACATACATAGCCTACATATATTAGTCTCTTAGGAATAACAATAATAATTCACTTAATATTACCATTTCAGAATGTTGACAATTAACATAATTAACAATTCACACAATATACGATATCAAATACTATAAATTTAGTGCCTACAAACATAACATGACAAATATAGTCACCTAGTAAAATACAGCAAATCACACTTTTTTTTTTCAGTGACTCACGTAAATAAATGTCTGCTTTATGGAAAACTGCAGTTGTTGTTCTGCCTCAGAACACTTGATGTCCTCTCTTCAGCAGGCGCTACAATAGATTCAGTTCCTGAAATGTTCTGTTCCACTGGTATTTATGATACTTCACGTATTGTGGGCGTGTCCTTGAAACAGCATGCAAACCAATGGAACTGTAAATATGCAAGCTCCTCAAATCGCAACATTTTTATTGGATTATTTCCAAAAGGTTAGATAAAGTTCTAATGTTTAGCATTGACTGCTACAGTTTGTGTAATATGATAAATCGTTATCGTCTGAGCTGTTTGTGACTGGTTAGTCATTCAGTTGGATAAATATTAGGACACCACAGAGCAAACATGAGTGAATAACCTACACACTTCCACATAAGGTTGTTTATAATGAAAAAAGGTTCAAAGTTTATTAAAATGTCCTTCACACTAAGAAATTTTAGTACTGCAGTATACTAGAATGCTAGCTGTCATTCAGTGACTGCAGTATGTTGAAAATGCTTTAAAGGGGTCATCGGATGCTACATGCACTTTTACAAGTTGTTTGAACTGAAATGTGTGTTGGTAGTGTGTGTACACAACCACCCTATAATGATAAAAATCCACCCAGTGTTTTTTTTTTTAATCTACTAAAATCTTTCCCCTTTTCTCAAATCGAGCCGATCTCAGATGCCTGTCTGTGTGACGTCACAAAACAGGCCCCTCCCACGATAGTTTGATCGACAGTAGCGTTTCAGCACAGACTGGACTGGCGTCTTACCTTAGACCCGCCCTGAGTGAGCTATCACCAGTCCACCATTGTTTCACCGCAGGAGCAGATGTAGACAAGAATGACTCCTAAGCAATTGAGGTGTTCTGTTGTTGGATGTAATAATGAACATAGCAGTCGTCATTTACTCCTGACATCTGATCCAGCTTCACCAACAGAAGAAGTGAGTATAAGGATTTTTAATGAATCTTCTCAAATCACCTTTCCTAATAATGTGCTAATTAGCAAGTTTCACGATGAATGTGGCTAAAGTAAACAGTCCCTCAGAGAGCGGCAGATCAAGCAGAGCTCATTAACATTTAAAGGAAAATGCCACAAAACGGCTTGCTCTGAAAAAGGCAGTTTTTCACAGGGTAAAAAAGGTGTTTTTTACACTATCATTGAGAAATTTTAACCAAACTATGTTACAGACTTTTCATTAAGACCCTAAAGAATCATATCAACTTGTGCAAAATGGGCATCCGATGACCCCTTTAAATAAAGGGGTGATGACATGAGAAAGCAAATTTGCCTTGATCTTCTGGCATATAAGAGGTCTTTGTACCATTAAAACTTCCTGCAAGTTTCATAGCTTAAGGCGTCCTCCCCATTATAAACAAAGCATTTATTTAATCAAGCTCCAAATACGGCTCGTTGTGAATCCTATGGGGCAAGGTGACGTCACCTAGCACCAGTCATTTGCATATGACTGCCTCCAGCGCAAGACAACTATGCCTAATTTTGCCTTATCGTTGTCACGTCCACGGGTGTTCAGTCGACGTGCAGCGAGTGGGTCTGAAAAAGTAGTTGTTTACAATAAGATTGTGATGCCACACAGATGTGTCATTCCTGGCTGTGGAAAAACATGTTTGAATACGCTGCCGAAGGATCCAGACGCCAGGGAAAAATGGATTCAGGCCGTGCCGACTATTCTGGACATAACAACGACACCGCAAACTATAAGTAATGTATTTCATGTAAAAACAACTTTTTAAAAAGTTAATTACAGTTTAATTCATAATGAATAATCACAGTGTTTTTACTTAGTTTTACTTGCATATTGTTTTCAGAGTCCGTCATGTTCAGGCCCCGTGTTAAAAGACGTTAGCCAATCATAACAGTGGGCGGTTACACTGAACTCTTACAGGGGAAAACACCCCAAAACCGACTGTTTGAGTCAGAGGATGAGAAACGGTGGAAAAAGGTCATAAATCACTAAATTTCGTCCAAAAAACTATAGTAATATTATAATTGTACCTAAGGGAGCATAATAAAACAAACCAAAAAACCCATTTCATGACCCCTTTAAATAAACCAGCAAATTTATTTGTGCCCTAATAAAATGTATATAAGTTAGCCTGGTGTGAGTATTCTGTGTCATCCTTAATTTCTTACTTATTTTGCAGATAGTCACTTGTCGTGCCAAAATGTAAGATCAGATGGATCTCCACAACAAAATTATCAGATGATATTAGATCCTGGATGGCGAATCAGACCACAAAGCAAATGAACACTTTCATTGTGACGTGTCACGTGATATGGCATAAGATAATATACCATGGCTGAAGAGTAACGAAATACATGTAACTTACAAAATTTGAGTAACTGTATTTCACTACATTTTAAATGGGTGGTAATCAAATGACAGTTACATTCAAAAAGTATTTTAGATTATCAAAGTGATTACTTTGAATTTTAATATCGTTTATTTCATTTAAACATTAATGTAAACTGTAACAAGTAATTAATGTAAGCAGCTTTTGGTGATTCTCCGACTCTGACATATGCAAAATGTTTATAATTTTAACAAAACAAGAGGGATCTGGTATCATAAAAATTGCATGACTGTCCTGAATAAGCTATTTCACATTACAGATACTCTTACATATTAAATACATATACTCCACAAGACAAAATGACAGAATTTCAATTTATACAAATTGGCCAGGGGCAACCAAAACTAGCAAGTAGGGTAGACTGAGTACAGTAGAGACACTTTCTGCTTTTTTCATCACTACACAAAAACTAGATGCTAAAATTAAGTGATTTTTCACGATATTTCTTTTGCTTATGTACTTAAATATCATAAATTGATAATAGCCATAAGTAGTTTATATTTTCCACAATTGGCTCATAAACATAAGGTGCATTTTTGTCCCATATAGTTTACAGTTGAAACAGTACCATGGTAAAGTTGAGACACCCATTCTTAATGCTCTAAAGCTGGCTAACCATTTATTGCAAATGTAATAAATTACAGTTGTGCATTTTTTTTTTAATTCAGATTTATTTATTCGCTTTATTTAATTCAGATTCAGTTAAACAAAATAGCAGCAAAATATTTAACATTGGAAAAGATGTGGCAAACAGTACAAATGTAAACAGTAAACTCAAAAAAGTAAAAAGACAAAGTCCACTCACTAACTACATTGCCTAAATACACGCAAACACACACACACACACACACACACACACACAGGTATTTCTAACATTATAGGGACATTCCATAAGCGTAGTGGCTTTTATTCTGTACAGACAGTATATTTTATCCCCCTACATACCAGTATATTCTATAACCCTATACGCCTAAGCCTACCCATCACTCCAAACTTTCTGTATTTTTACATTTTCAATCATTCTGTATGATTTATAAGCTTGTTTCCTCATGGGGACCTAAAAAATGTTTGCATAAGGTTAGACTTTACTGGTTTTACTATACTTGTGGGGACATTTGGTCCCCATAACTTAGGTAATACCAGTACACACACACTCACAGCCTCTGAATATGTATTTTATTTTCTATGATTGAACTGCATACATAGTGACCTATAATGGGTGTAACAACTGTACCCACTTTACCTCCTTGTATATTTCACAAAATGCTATGTTATCCTTTTAACATTCATGTTAGAAAATATGTCCATTAATAATAGACAGTTGAAACATCACAAATATCATTTATAAACATAATTTGCGTAGCATGTGTGTAAATGTGACTTTTAACCTATTATCATAACACTGTACAACGAAATAGCATGTGACGCAATAGAACACCAATCCAGGTACAGTTGATACACTGAGTCTCAACCGTACCCCACTGACATACTCGCATGTTTCTAGATTATGCAAAGACCTTGCATGGCACGATGTCATAAAATATGTCGTTTGCATTGATATGTTAAGTTTAACAATCATAAAAGGATAATAAGCTATTCATTGTGGAAGGGACATGGTGAAATTAAAATCTTACATTGGAAATGTTTTTTTTTGCCGATACCTTCGGAGTGAAAAGACGCACACCTTTCAAATTTCTCACGATCAAAGAGAACACTAATATGCATGTGTGAATTATAATATGCTCGTGGTTCCTGTGCATGCAAGTTATTTAAGTTGTTTCAACTGTACACATGTGCCAAATGTACTCAATCTACCTGTTGTGTTCAGCATGTGACAGAGACTTCTTGAAATGCATGCGCATGAGTTGCATGCGGCAGACAGAAAGTGAATAAAGGAAAAAGAAGCATCCGTTCAAGCTCCCGTGTAGAACTGAGTTTTTTTTAGCATTCCATCAGTTTAAACACAACATTGGCGACGAGGATGGCTGAGTTTAGTTTACCGCCTCCATCACCTTTTCTTCCCATGCCTGGCAAACCGCCAGTTCCGTGGGAATTGAAGAAGCATGTTTTCCAGTGCAGCTTACACAGATGCAAGGAAGTCGTAGAAGTTTAGTTTTCTGCAGCAACTGTGGCTCTAGCTCACACAACTCAAGGGCCCAAAATTGTCCTGCACGGGGACAGACATGCAGGAATTGCCTTAAAAAAATCACTTCGCTAAAGTATGCCGATCAGCACCTGCTACACAAGTATCACAGAAGCGACAACCGTTTGCCTCTAATAACTGCACAGAAATCAGACATGTATCAGCGGGCCAAACAGCTTTTAGGACATGTACTGCGCTTCTTGGCGAGGTGAGCCTTCCACTGTTGATGGATACGGGTGCAGCGGCATCTCTGCTCAATGCCAGTACATACCACAAGTTCTTTTCCCATCTGCCACTGTAGAAAAGGCCGGCTATATATATAGAGCCATTAGTGCCCCCTTGTGACTTTAAGAGGTATTCCTTTGATGACTTAGCATTTCCCTTTAACGATCCCTTTAACAGTATTAACAGGACGCAGTTCAGAGCATGGACATTATTCGCTGTTGTTCAAGCTGTTGTTGTTTTCTACTGAGTGCGTTTATACACAAGTGAGTGATGGTGTTTATGTTATTCATTATCTTTAAATTGCTGTATTTTGAAGGCATAAATTTGTGTTATTGCTAGTTGCTAATTATAATCATGTATGTGCGCCACACACATTG